TCCCGGCGCGAGCACCAGCACCTGGGTGGAAGGTGGGACCTCCCGACCGCGCCTGGCTCTGCCGCTGGGCTTCACCCCGCGAGCTGCGTGCCACGGGCTTGATGAGGAGCCGTGTTATTTCTGTACAAAACACCCTGTTTTTCCACCATTCCCACCCCTCGGGTGCTGCTTTGATTTGTTCTTCGGTTTGCTCTTCCTTCTGCAGGAGCCAGAGTAAACGTTTTTCTGTTGTTCCAGTGCTGGGGCACTTTTGGAGGTGTTGTGTCGTGCCTTCGCACTCCAGCGTATTGCATTGCACTGCGGGGCTTGGTGCAGCCCGGCTTTGTCCTGAGGGAAAGCTTTCTCCTTGGCCTCCTGCTAAAGCCTTCCTCCCTCTGCGTAAACAATCATCGTTAGCACTAATTGGGCAGGTTTGGGGTTAAATCTGCAAAGATTGCTTGAGTTTGGTAAATCCTCTGCCACCGCAAAGCAGATAAAGCTAAACAAAAGATTGCCTTGATTAGATTAAAGTTGGCAAATTCATTGCCCTAATCATCATATTGCCCTTCCCGTGGCTATTCAGGAATACATCACCGTGACTTACTTGAAGTAATTGAATATAATTGTCTTTTTAACTCGTATGTGTAAAACATCCATCTTTGTTAACAGCATGTGTTGCTGTCCTGCTGCCAGCTCACTGTCCTCTTCGGGAGGGGTGGGGACAAGAAGCAGAGCTGGGCTGACGTTTATGAATTGGTAGCTGATTGCCTATAAAATCATTCATTATTTCTGACCAAGCACCTGGAAGAGAATAAAAAAAGAACAGCACCAGCCACTGGAGACTCTAGGCTTGGCTGGTGCTCCCAGGCATGGAAGGAGGGGGGAAGCCCTGAAGTGGGACATTGCAAAGGGCGTCACCAAAATCAACCCTTGCCCTTGACAGCAGCAAAGCTCAGAACACCTGGCAGGGTTGAAAAGGAGAGCAGCAGAGGTGCTCAAGGCAGAGGCATTGCTGACCCTGCCATGGTCCACATAGGTTGAAATGCTCAAAAGAAGCTAGCAGTACCAGTGAGAAGGAAGAACTTCATGGAAATTTTTCTCCCATTAAAAATCAGAGGTATGAGGAGGGAGACATTCTCTTCAAATGTCAGTTTTATACTAACTGATCACTAGGAAAGGAGGCCATGCAGCAAACACCGTGTGTTTTCTTTTTCCCAGCTCTCCTGAGTGACAGAGAAAGACTCTTTTAGTGCAAAAATTTCCAGTATTACCTCAGCATTTAGAAATGCACAGTTACAAAATAAAATGTAACTGGCCTGGGTTTTAAGAGATTCTGCTTGACCTGTTGTTCTTAATGGTTTCATCATTATTAGTGAGTTAAATAGATCCAGGCAATGGGTCCAGCGATTAGGACTTGACTCTCCGTATTATTGAAACACTGCCATGATGACCAACACAGCTTCAGCCTATGTCAGCTCACACTTTCCTGCCATTTGGGGGTTAGCCCAGCCCTGGACCTGCCTGTTACAAACAGAGTGGCCATGTCGTTTTGGGAAGTTGCAAAACTTCACCTTTAGAGATGCCACCAGCTGGGCTGTGTAGATTGGCCCCAGGACCACAAAAGATTCCCCACTCCTTTGGGTTTATTTGTATGGCATAAATAGGGAATGAGCACTGCAGGAAACCCAGCCTAAGGGCTCGTGCTAGAAGAGATTTTTGTGTGTCTGGCATCAGATGTCCACACAGGGACAGTTGATTTTGTGACTGTGCTTGGTATGTGATGATGTGAAACCTCCTTGCTGCACTCCGTCTGGTCCCCCATAGCAGCTGTGGGTTGTGGCCAGGTGACAGCAGTGTCCCCCAGGGAGGAGGACAGCAGCTTGAGGTGTCTGTCAGCCCCCACAGCGGGTCGGGCTGAGTGTGGCTTGGGGAGACCAGAGGCTGCGTGGTGCTGCGTGAGCAGAGGGTGGGATGTGCTGGCTGAACACTGCTGCGTTTCTAACCTGGAAAAACACTGGCTGCCTCTTAAAATGAAGACTCCTTACAAGTGTCCTTATGTAACAGATCATCCCTACCCAGGACGGTTGAAGGGTGAATCTTCCTCCTGCCAAAGCAAATCCTAAAGGATGCAAGTTTATTCTCTCCCTGAGCTGCTTTTGGAAGACGAGGGGAGGGGAGCAGAAGGGGGAAGAAGGCAGTTAACAGTTACCCTTCTGTGTCCTCACATTAGGCGAGCTGCAAAAATGCTCCCAGTGTATCAGGTAGTGTGCGGTGCCAGCCCTTCGCTGGAGCGCAGAGAGCAAGTCTGCTGCGGAGCCTTGAATACTTTCCACCCCGACTACCTTAGCTTAACGCCTTTCAGCAGAGTTGGCAGGAGGGTTGTTTTTGTGTAGTCTCTCACCTCTCCCGGCAGCCCAGCTGACGCGCCTGTGCTGCGCTGTGCTCGGGGATCGTACGTTCCAATGGGAGTAGGAGCCTCAGATCCTCTTGCTGATATGCCGGGAAAGACGTATATGGGGATTTCACGCAGGCTTTGCGCGACGGACCCGAAAGGAGCACAGCCTCGCCCGATGGAATCAGCGTAGCTCTGTTGCAGCTGGAGTCACCGATGCGAAAGGCTGAATTTTAAGTCTTCCGTAGAAAAAAGAGTTTGGCGTTTACTGGAGTTTGCTGAGCATCAGCGAGAGACTTGGCCCAAGCCTTGACACTCTGGTTTTGGATGGTGCTTCCCTGCTCTACAGAGAGATGCTACCTGTCGCGGAGGCAAGTCACAGTGAAATACTGAGTGCAGACTCGGTTTTGAAAGGCTTGCTTAGGAAGTTGGTTTTGCTTTGCTTTTAGTTTCTGGTTATACAGAAAGGCCAAGAAACCAGAGAGGGAACGGGAAGACCTGTGACAATATTAAGTAACCTTTTATGAAGAACTTCTGTTGTAAAGGCAGAGACCAGCCTTTTATCTTGAAGCTGATTGCTGCTACAAATCTAGCAAACCAAATCATTACAGAGATGTGATGAGCCCTATCAGAGGGCGACTGTATGGTATCGTTACTGAGGCTCTGCTAATTGTATTTCTTTAGCTTTTGTAATTTTAGCAGAAAAGGCCCAGGCAATCAGGCAGCGTTGTCGCGGGTGGTGTGGAGAACTAACCTGATGAATTTTCCATCAGCTCGACTCACTCAAATATTCTCACTCTTAACTTTTGGGGTCAATAATAAATATTAAAACCTGTAGATTTAATAAGTCAATGTAGGTGTTCTCTGCCTTTTGAGACCACTTTATCTTTCCATCAAAGATGAAACAAGCTTCTCAAATGAATAAAAAATAGGGCCTCAAGTGATTACAAGTGAGAGCAATTTGGGCTCCTCTCTCAGAACCTGGCAGTAGGCACTTTTGAGCCTTCTCTGACTGCCTAGACGTGCTGCATTAGCGCTGTTCTCACTGTTACATTTTTAGGTAAATATTTCCAACCCGTGTGTACAGACCTTCAGAAAAGGTGTTTGCTGCCACTCCAGGCATGAGGGACGACGCAGGTCTGGATCCCGCCAGGCTCTGTTGAGTCTGATTTGCGTTGCAAGTCTAGTTTTCCTTGGTGCTTCCTATAATCTCCTCAAGTTCAAAGAGCGCTTAGCTGCTTGTCTTTGTCAAAAACCCTGTTGGAGATCTTTTATGTCGAAGATGTAGGATTTCTCCGCATGACTTTGATTATTTATTCATTCCACTTCTCTGGTGTATGATAGCGCTGATATCATGAAGACCCCTTGTCTTGCACTGCTCTTGCTCTGAAATTCATGGAGATTTAGTGCCTTTGAAATTGTTTTAAAAGGAAAGGAAAAGTTTTTGAAGTCCCTTTTTTTTTTTTTCTATTCCCCTCAACAGTGCCGCAACACATTTTTCCGGCCTTCCACGCTCCTTTGCCAATTGACATGCGCCACCAAGAAGGACGATACCATTACGAACCTCACTCTATCCACGCTATCCACGGGTAAGTCTTGCACTTCTGCTCCTGTGCCTTGCTAAAAAGTCGGCCGCCCGTGCTACGTGAAGTCTGACTGCTAAGGTCCCAGGGACTTGCTGCCCTCCTGTCAGGCTGGCAACCCTCCACCCCATTGTCCCCATCCGGTGACAATACTGACCTGCCTCACAGGAATGCTCTATAGCTCTGTTAAACCTATGGAAGTGCCATATAGCAGCAGGATGGGAGTACTGGGCTTCCGTGTCATTACCTCTCTGAGGTCCCGGGGACAGGCTTGACTTGTGTTTTTGCGCCCGTGCTTTTTTTCACATCACGCCGTGCCTGAGTCCTTTCTTGCTGAAGATCCAGCGCTGCTCCCTCCATTTGGAGACCTCCGGTACCATTCCTCTCTGCCCATCGGTTGTGGGGGCAGTGGCAAAAGGCTGCTAGGAATGCTGCTAGTCAGTTTGATTTCACTGTGCAATGGCCTGGACAGGCTGAGCGGCATTTTCTAAAATGTGGTAAAGAGGCAGGTGCTCACACCGGTGTCCATGCTGAAGGGGCAGGACACTGTGTTTCGTTGGTGACCTCCTCACAAGACCCCTCCTCCCTGGGGCAGCTGGTAGGCAGTGAGCACAGGAGCGGTACCCTGGAGGGGCGGTTGTGGCTAGTCTCCTCATCCAGGACATGACAGCTTGAAAGTCCTTGACATGTTGGAGGACTTGTTTGTAGAGAGATTTGGGTTCACCTCCTCCAAGGTTTGGTGAAGGCAGGGAAAAAGAAGCTGGGAGGGATGTGAGCAGAGGCTGTAGTGAGTGTGAGGCTGGAAGGGTTTCTGCTTGTCAGTGAAATGCACCATCCCCACGGGAGGTGAGGAGCAGCCTGACAGAGTTGGTAGTCCCACGGCCACCCCAAAATCCCTCAACCCATGGCTATAACAGGGCTCAGCTGTCAGCTGAGTGACAGGTCCCAGGGCATTTAGTGTAGAGGAAGCTGTACGGGCTAGAAACATTTTGCAAGAAGAGCAAGTGAAGAAAAAATTGAGCTTATCACTTTAAACACTTTAGTTTGATTCCCCAGAGCCTCGTTGTGGCCTTGCCATACAGCCGTGGTCAGTGCTAACCTGGCTTTGCAGAGGCTGTTTGTAGAGCTGTGCTTTCTCTAGATAGATGTGAGTGGGGGGGAACAGTCCCTGGGAGGCAAGTAATGCAGGCAGCGGCAGCCGGGAGATCTGTGGAGTCCCACAGCTACCAGGGCTTTATTCCACTTCCAAAATGCTGTGGGAAAAAAATGATAGGGCATTCCCCTGGATCCTACCAGAAGACAAGTTGTTGTCTTTTTGGCTGGCAGTCGGTTTGACTGGATGTTTAAAGGGGCAGAGCAGCTCCTTCCCTGGTGTGTGCAAAGGGGAACAGACAGAGCGGGTTGCTAGCATGGGAACTGGGGGGGCTAAAGGGGGCTGAATGAGATAGTTCTGGTCTTGTGTGCTAGTACATGCAAAAATTGTGGGGAAAAAAAAAGATTAATAAAAAACGTACTGGAAGATGGTTAATAAGCCAAAGCTCTGGCTTATAAGCCACGTACTGACTTTTGAAAGGGGCAGTATTCAAAACAGCAGTTAGAAGAGAGGATGGCAGTTGCTCAGATGTTTGGCACAAGTTATTAGTGTGCCCCACTCTGTGCTCCTATTTAATCCTCGCCAGAAAGGTCGGGTGCACCGCATCTGCCGTGAGGCTCCACAGCAGTTTCTTTGGTGGGATCATGAAGCAAGGCCTTCTCCAAAACACAACCAGGAGCTCACCAGCTGGTGATATGTACCTGCGAATCATATCCCCCAGTGACAGGAGTCAGTGTTTTATTGTACTGGGACTGTCCAGCTGATCAACCCTGGCCAAGTGTGCAGTGCTGGCCGAGCAGGTTTCAGTTCATCTGTGCCAATACTAATAATTCATTGTCTTAGCAGTGACCACATTTGTCTGCCAGCAGACCAAAAATGTTATGCTTAGTATTTGGGCAGAGTGGTTGGCAAATACCTGTTGTCCTTCTTTGGGATCCTTCCCCTTCCCAGCAGCACCTCTCAAAAATGGCTTGTGAGGTACTGGGGAGAAAACTGGGTTGCTTGTCTTAGAAGAGGAAGCAATCTTCTGAAACTCCCTGGGCATTGCACTGAAGGGTGCCTCTTGGCTGGTGAAGCACTGAAGCTGAGCAGCCAACTGCTTCTTGACTGTGGGAGTTTTTTAGGGTCAAGGCAATGCCACTTCTGTTTGACTCTTTTCTAAGTGCCCTGGACTACAGCACAACCACGCTAACTATGGAGTTAGTCTTCCAGCCATTTTTTTCTCTTCCAATTTTATCTGCAAACAAGCTCCTCTCCTGTCCTTTCCCCCTCTAGTTTTTGATTTCGTTCTCTTTTGTCTTCCTCTTCTCTCCTTCAGTCTCTGCTCTGGAGATTATAACATAGTGCTTATCCTCCTCACTGGAGGATGTCCAACATGAAATTATCGAGAACATGCTGGTGGAACTGGGCTAGAATATATTTGATGGTTGCATGTCTCTTGTTCAGTAGACTGGGGGCACTCTGCAGGCACAGTTGAGCCTCTAGAAATTCGTACTTCATCCTGATGGTGCAGAAATCCATCGTTCTTTTTAAAGTAAACAACTCAAAAAAAAAAAAAAGGCATGTGCATATTTTCACTCTAGAAAATTATGGCAAATGTTTGGAAGAAAAATTGTGTCACTGAGTTTTGGCTTTATGATTAATGTGATCGGTGCCTGACAGAGAGCCCCCAACTCATCAAGCCCATATTCTAGCTGTCTGCTGTCTTGCCGGTACCAAATTTATCTAATTACATGAACATTGCGCAGCAAATTAAGTGTAGTCTCATTTGTTGCTAACTATGGGGTCTTATTATCTGCCTGCTGCATTATGTCAAAGGTTTTTTTCCTGATTGCTTGGTGTGACATGGCAGTGTATTCCCCTTCATCACTGTTTGCATTTGGTCTAATGAGAACATACGTTATTTCACCCTAACTGGGGGGAACTCATCTGCAAGGCTCTCTTGAGCAGGACCACCTGTGGGACCCTTTTTCTTGAGAATATAGGTGGGAATGTGGAAAACTCAAGTAATGAAAGACCCATGTGCCAAGGCAGGGGCCTGAAATATTTCCTGAATTTCTGGTCACTATTGCCAGTCTTTTATGTCTCAATGATTTCCTTGTTAAGCAGTGTGACAAATAATTTTTAGGGGTTGATTATTTATTATACATGTGAGAAGCAGATCTTGTCGGTATTTCCTTGAAGTATAATTCTAGAGGCTTTTTTTCTGGATGTTTCAGTGTTTCTCCAGTAATAAGAACAACTCCCTTTTCTGTACAACCTGAATTGTTTTTACTTACTCAGTGATACATTATTTGGACATTGTTCATTTTTGAACTTTTTATTTTTGCATTAAGAACAATTTGGCAGAATTATGGTGCTTGCTAGGCTTGTCTAGAAAAATAAAGTAACTCATTCAGATGATCCTTAAGCTCTCTATAGCGCAATAGTGCAAACCAATTGGAATATTGGGGATTCAAGGCATCATCCTGGATTCCGATGCTTGTGAACTTGTGGTTGTATGGACAACAGTGGGAGTGGCAGGATTGGAGCCCAGTGGGTACTGTGAAAGGCTGTAATGCAGAATGGAGAAAAACTGAACATGGGATGAAATCTATTCCAGGAGTATAGAATTAGAGCAGAATTAAAACAATTAATTTGCGTCGGTACAGATAAATTATGTGAGGCACCACTTCTACAAAGCAAAGTATATATATATTAAGGTTGCATACTACAGGACTCAAAAGCTAAAAAATTATAGAAAAATAAATTTGGAGATTCTGTTAATTTCATACGTCATTGCAGTAATGCCTTCTATTAAAGAGCTACATTCTGTTTTTCCCAGCGATCCTCACCTCCTCCACAGCAGAGGATGGCCCAAGTTCTGTGGAAGAGCAGTGGAGGGTGTTATATGCATTTTCTGCATCCAGTTTTTATAGATTTGTCAGAATTTCGCCTTTGGTTGTAGGCAGAACATAGATCAGCATTACCAGAGCGAAAGTCATCAGCTACGGCATTTCAGTATGCTCATAGCTGAACAAAACAAATTCACTCCATAAGTTAGAAGACGTACTTTTCTAGCAAAGGGGATATTTTGTATTTTAGTGAGCTTCTTCACGAAAGCCTACTCCACTAGGGCCTGGTCTCTGCCATAACTTCACCTGCTTTACACCAAGGGGACTCTTAGTGTCAGCTTTGCAAGACCAAGCCCTTGACTACAGGGGAAGGCTGCTGGCAGATATGGCAGGTGATTACTGGTACCTCCTTTCCACTCCCCACTTTTAGGTGTGCTTAGCTACTCTTCCTTTTTTTTTTTTTTTAAAGCACAACAAAAATAACTAAAAACTCCTTAGCTCAGCTTAAAAGTTCTTGCCAATGCGAGAGCCTTCAGGGCTAACCCTTGTAAACAGCATGCCTAGGCTTGACTCAGCAAGAAGCTTTTTAACAGTAGCTCCTAAACTGTGGTTAAAACCCATCAGGCATTACGCAGTGTAACAAACAAAAGCAGCCTTGTTTTTCTACCGACATCCTGGTGGTGTTTCAGGATGCAGTTCTGACATTATTTATTAACAAAATATTGTTGTTTGTCTTCTGTCCACACATAAAAAATAGTTAAAAAAAAACAACCCTGGGCTGACAGTCACAAATTCCAAGGCTTTTGTGAGTATTGAAGTGTCCCAAAGACCTAAACATAGAGAAGACTCTATCTCCATAATAATGTGGGTTGCCCTTAATTTCCCTCTGGTAGGGATTTTATCTGGTTTAATCATCGATCTTCCTCCATTTCCCTGAGATCTTAACATATTACAGATTTTTCTTGATATTCAGCCTACACTTTTTTCTTTATCTGATGGTATTATACTTCCTTATTGAAGTTTGTTTTCTTTTTACTATTTTAAAAATTACAGAATGCCTTTTTGTTCCCGAGCTGTTT